AACAGTTTAGCTTATTTAAAGGCTTTCTTATGAAATAGTAGAACTGTACAAAGACTACTCGATTCAATATGTTAAATCAGTGTGAAGATCTAGAAAAAAACGCTTGGGTTTACTTGTAGAAGTTAATGTGTGTTTTCTAATGTGTATCTGTGCTATTTGATTTGTTATTATAATTCATAAATTTAACTACTTCATATATTTGATCAGGAAAAAGTGTTCTATATGAACTTGAAAATCCACTTTAGATGGAATCAATCTCTAATCTACCTAGATCAGTATTTTCTACAGTGAGTGGGAATATAGACTTTCCCAGCCCTACCTGGAATTGTCAAAAATTAAGCTGAACACTTTCTTCAGGTAAAGCAGTAACTCTACTATGGAGTTAGTAGAGACTCTACTATGGAGCTATCTGTTTTTCTTTCATCTTGGAAATATTGGTGAGCATTCTGTAAGGAAGAGAGGTCAAATCTGTAGGAATTTTAAAATATTGTTATTGGGTATGAAGAGACATGGATATCTTCCAAAAAAGTTGGTTCAAGAAGACATTTTGGAGAAAAGTTATCAAAAGCCACTCAGAGATCCAATGGAATCAACAGGGCCACATGTTCTTCATCTCTCAGGATGCCTATAGCTGATTCTGGCCTCAGAGTAGACATGGACCTAGACTGAAGAGAATGGAAATAATTGATATGTTCCAAAATGTCTGCATCTGCACAGAAACCACTTTCTGTTATTCATCGGTATGGTATCTTATGTACTTTTTAAACTGAAAGTAATTAGACCTAAGTAGAGGATTCTGAATCCTCTATTTAGTTTGAAAACTTCTCCAGTTAATAAAATGGAATTTATCAAATCAAATCAAATCAATTAAAATTTATTTATCTCTCATCACTGAGAGAAGTGAAAGGAGATAGTAATATTCCTTTGAATATTATGTGCAGAATAATTGTGATATTATATGAATTTAAATCTCGGGTTGGTTTACATTTTAATGGACATTTGTTTTTGTCTTTTATTCATCCACACTATATCAAGTGAAATTATATGATATTAAGTAAGTTTCACACACAGCAGCATCCCTGGGGAAAGATAAATCTGCTCTTCACTTGCAGCAATGACCTGCTGATTTGTATGTCCTACCAATATTTGAATTAGGGTTGTACTTAGGAGGTAACCAGCCAGAGTGATATATATCCTTGAGTCTTCAATGTGTGAACTCTACTATATATTTGTTGCTAACAAAAGCAGAAGTAAAAATATCAAACCTAAAGATATTACATAACAGGTCCAGAGAAGGACATCAAGGATCATAAATAAAGATATATCAGTACTATATTTGTAAACATGATCAGAATATTAACTCAAATTCAGAATCTCATTCCAACTCTCTACAGTTCCATGATGGAATGCAAATCCTACAAAAGGTGCTGTCCTAATTTATCCACCATATGTATCTCTCTACTGAATGTGTTCAGTTTGCATAAATGTAAGAAAGCCTTTCCTGTCAGTTGAAGGGATTTCTTTATCCATGGAAGCTCCTCTGATGTTCTTCTGCACTTAAATATATTTAGGTGTTGCCCCCTGAACCAAACACTATTTACATTTTGTAAAAGTTCAGTTCATTTAACATCCATATACTGGACCTGAATGATTTTTTTTCCCTTCCTTTACGGCAAGTGTTTGACTATGATATGACTGTGATATGCTCTGACTATGATACAATTCTATATAATTCTGTTCAAAAGTAATATCACTTCATTTGCTGGAGCTTGCTTTCAAGTCAGTATACATGGAATGGCAGCCAAAAGCTGTGAAGATTACCTTGTCATATATTCTTACTGATGAATCTTCCTACTAATGTATTTGAAATTTAGATTGAAACAGCATGGACCTTTGATGTATTCCATTGTGTTTTAGATATTACACACAGAGAGAAGAAAGATTTTGAGTCACTCTGTTTCTATATTTTTCCAACTGAGAATTATTAAAATTATTCTTTTTGTCAAGATTCTCATTTTTCCATTAAAAACAAATGTTTTTATATGCATTTAACAGACTGTTATCTATATATACTCTATAGAACCTGTACTCTAAAATATGTATGTCTTCTTTTGCAGAGAGCACTTGTGCTGGCCTTTTTGTGACTACTGCATTAATGTACCTAGATGGTGCTCATGATATCATTAATAGCTTCATACAAATTTCCAAATGTGTTGGATTAAACTGTCAAAGTTCATCCCATCTGGAGGTATCAAGATTGGGCAAGTCCGATAAGAGAATCCTACATGTGATCCTACATTAAATCTACCTTTTTTGGTTTGGCTCCCTCAATAGAATAGACTGGAAATTAACTTATTTACATATACTGTATGTTGCTTTATTTCATGTAATGAAATAAATATATACAGAATACAGTATGAAGAATGCACATAAATATGTACATACACACATACTAGGATTGTGTGTTGGTTTGAACCCAAATCCAGAGTGAAGTAGAGGAATTCAGGTCACCTCCTCCCAAGTTACTTGAGATGAAAGGCTTACTTCTAATGTAGCCTTACCTGCTGCTCCAGTGTTCTACCTCTGAATTCATGTTTTATAGGAAAGAAAGCAATGTCCCTCATGATTTTTCATGCTAATCTTTGGTGTTACCAAGGATTCTAAAAGTCCTTGAAGAATGGAGGAGAAGAAATAGAAGTGTTGGATTTGTGATTAAGACATTTGCCTTCAAATCAGAGTGATTTTTTGCAATCCAAATATCATCAGTTGCTCCAATCACACCATTGTCTGGTAGGGTAAGGAGTGGAGGGATTGTGGAAGAATGTAACTATTTACTCATGTCACTGTTTTCCATCCTCAGTTTTAGAACTTGTACAAAAATGTTTGTGATTCTCCCACAAAGTATGTATGTGTTTGTTGTTCAGCTCTTGCTCTTACTCTCTAATGCTATTGTGGAAATGAATATAGTACAAATACATACAACAGCTGAAGAGAACAACACAATCACACAACTGATAAGCACAAAAAAGGAGGCCTCAATTATCCTCATTGTCTGCTGTTTCTTTATGTCCCATAGCACATGGAAGCTGACAATTTCAGGAGTTGCAAAATGAAGAGGAAATAAATGCTATTTTTTTCTCCCTTGACTGGAGATTTTCAGCCCAATCAACAAGTAGAAACCCCATAAATCATTCAGTCATTTTTCTCATGTGAGATTGAAGAAATCTCAGATTTTGAACCTTTGCATTATTTTCCTCATGGCCATTTTCATGTCCTTATTTTTCAAACTGTAAATGATGGGATTTAACATAGGAGTTAAAATGCTATACTGGATGGAGACAACTACATCCAACTCTGATGATGAACCTGAAGTAGGTTTCATGTACCTAAAAAAGCCTGACACATAAAACAAGCCAACAACAAAAAGGTGTGAACTGCAAGTGGAGAAAGCTTTGCTTCTGTCCTCCATGGATGGCATTTTGAGGATGGCAGAGATGATCTGAACATAGGACACCAAGGTGAGGACTGAGGCGCTCATGAAAAACATTACCAGGGAAACCAACAGCACAGCTTGGTTTGCCAAGATATCAGAACATGATAAAATCAAAAGTGGAGGCAGTTCACAACTGAAGTTTTTCACAACTCTGGGCCCACAGAAATGCAGAGTTAATATGGGAAGAGTATTAATTAGAGCATGGAAAAAGCCAACCACCCAGGCCCCCCCTACCATCTGGTTGCACATTTGTTTGTTCATGATTTCTAGGTAACGTAGTGGGAGGCATACAGCTGCATATCGGTCGTAGGCCATAGCGGATAAGATTAAGATTTCTGTGCATGCAAACATCATGATGAAGAACACCTGAGCAATGCATCCACTGATAGAGATGGTCCTCTGGTCAGCAAGAAAAGACTGCAACATCTTTGGGACTGAGACTGAGGAATAGCAGATATCGACCAAGGATAAGTGATAAAGGAAGAAATACATTGGGGTGTTAAGGTGAGAGTCTGTTCCAGTAACCAGAATAATAGTAATATTTGCAACAAGAGTAATAAAATAAATAACAAAAAATATGACAAAAAGGAGACTCTGCAGTTTTGGATCATTAGAAAACCCTTCAAGAATGAACTCAGTCACCATGGTTAGATTTTCCATCCAGGCTTGTTTCACAAGAGTGTTAGCTTAAAAAAAAAAGAAGAAGAATCACAGGTGTAAACAGATATTAACACCACATTCCTATAGCTATGTGGTCACTATTAAGATTCTGCACACTTGGGGTGATGTCAATTAGTATAAAACTGTATTTTAATGTGCACTTATTTAGGAAATACATCCTTTGGAGTCAGTGGGATTTTCTTTGGAGAAAAAATAGATACATTTTGCATGTTAGATGTCCATGAACATAGCCATCTTAATTGTTATCATACTGAACATATCTGAAAATAAATAATGATCTATAATTCCTTTATACTGTGTCTGCTAGTGGTCCATCTTGCTCAGTATTGTATATTCTAGTTGATAGTAGCTTTTTAGGATCACAGGGACAAGAGATGCTTTTTAATCAGAGATAGATTATTTAACCTTAGAGCTCAACATTAAGCTGAGTGAATTTATTTATTTATTTATTTATTTATTTATTTATTTATTTATTTATTTAATTATTTAATTAATTACTTATTTATTGGTGTATGACTGTCAGAAATGTTCTTATATCCTAAAATGTATTCACCATGACACCAATTTCTATCCTGTTGCAGAGCATAGAAAGGAAATACAGACATTTCATCTTCTTTGGATATGGATTTCACCCCTCAAGTACTGTCATCATTCCATCAGGTTCTCTGAGCTGTTTCCATCCCAGCTAATCTCTATAAAAGAACAATAATTTTAGTTATAGTTGTACAGCAACCCAGATTCAAAGGGGAAAAATTATTATTTTGAGAGTGCATGGTCATGTAAGTCACATTGGTCAGCTGTTCTTAAGTCAAATGTGTCTTTAACTGGGTATGTGCTTCTGCAACTACAAAGGCCCAGAAAAGACACAGTTTATTTCAGGAGTTGCTGACAAGTGAAGACTGCATACCCATTCATACTCCAAATCACTGTCATCATTAAATCTGGATCAATGCACAGCCCTAATCTGAGTTTTCTTCTTGACTTCTTCTGCCCCAACTCTGTTTTCCTTATGCAATGATTCTCATGGACTATAAGACTAGCCGAAGAACTGTCTTACCTCTAACACGTGTAGGGAATTTTGCAAGCATATTTAGCTAAAGAGTGCTTCAAAGAAAATAAACTGGCATGTATAAAAATCATTTCCCATATAAATATCTATCCTAAGTATTTGAGCCAGCTGTGAAAGAGAAATGACTATTTTTCATAAGCTAACAGCAACAGGAAATGTAAGGGAACAACAATATCAATCTGTCTTATGTATTGGCAGAAAATTTTTTTAAAAAAGAACTTTTGTTGAATTATACAAAGATAGAAGTGAAAATTTGATACAGTTTGGATTCTAGTCTGTTTATGTCTCCATGGCAAACTAAGTGTAGCCAAATATACCCAAAGCAGAAGGAGCTAAAATGTATGTTCCTTCCCTATTATATGAATGGATATTTAGCAATGTAAGAAGTTATTTAAGGACTTATCAGCTGCAATGACAGGTTGGCATATGATTCTGACATACCCTAGAAATACCCACCCTAAACTGGTTTCAGATTCTGACATTTGCACTAGGCATCATTTTATGAGATTTAAATTGAGAGGTGGTTGATTAGAAACACAGCCATAGATCTATAAGGGGGAGGGGGGGAGGAAATATATTTAGTTTATTTTAATAAGGTTAATGAAGGAAAATAAAAGATCTTTACTGGATCAATTCAAAGTTCCATCCAGTCCAGCATTCTGTGTTACACACAAAACAACCAATTGCTTTTGGAAAGTTGACAAATATGGATAGGACAAAGACAGACTCTTCCACTGTTTCTTCTCAGCAGCTAGTATTTAAAAGATGCTACCTGAGTTTCAGGAAGCAGTAGACAGCCATCCAGATTGGTAGCCACTGATAATATCAATTAAGCTGATAAGAAAACAAACAGCAACAACAAAAAAACAGAATAGTAAAGGAAACCAAGAGGAAGACAAATATAAGGAGTTAGAAATGTGAGGAATAAAAAAGTAAAATGTGAAATGTGTGAAAGTAACAAGAAATGAAAGAGAAGGAGAAACATGATGGTGTACCTGGATCTTCAAAATTCTATTTATTTTCTATTTTCTTTATTTTTCCCTCAAGGATTATGAAGAACTTAAGTTTTTTTCTACCATAATTTAGAATCTATGCAATAGGATTTAAGACCATCATTCTAGATTTCTAAGAAGAAGCAGTTTACATAACCCTTTAAATCTTTATAGAATTTTTTTCCCCTAGAAATGGGTGGTCGTATAAGATAAATACTTTCATTATCTCTCTCATTCCTTTGTCATAACTTACCTTACCACCAAAAACTCAACATACCTGTTTCTCCTGTCCATTCACAGGGTAGGATTCCAAAGGCACAGAAGTGAATTGTAGTGCCTAGCTAGTAGGCTGAGTTTAAAGTGAATACTTTCTATAGGGAAAATATATATGCATTCTATATGTATTTGGGGAATAATATAACAGAATCCTTTAGGGAAAATGAAATCACAAACTAAAAATCCCCTATGGATTTCATTTTAAAAACTGTATTAAACCAATGCTCAGTGCAAGATGTCTCACTTGATACAGCACTATTTATGTTCCATGAGGGTTTTGGTTATCACTTTCTCAAAAAATAACAAGAAAAACTCAAGTCTACATTTAAATAATCAGGAAAGGAAATCTTAAGCCAAGGAAGAGATCCTTTAATTTTATAACAGGCATCAATGAAAGCAAGAACATTTAATGAAGTCCATAGTGTCCAGCTAGTTATTTGCTTATTTCAAGTGAAGCTATAATTCCGTAACTGGAAAATGCATGGTTCAATGATTCAGAAGAGCTTTTTCTCATGGGGAATGTGATAATATAAAGAGCTTTCTGAACAGCAGTCAAATGACCATTTAAGGGTTACTTATATAGTTCTGATACATAATTATAAACTTATCTCTGTCTGCCTGTCTGCCTGCCTGCCTGCCTGCCTGCCTGCCTGCCTGCCTGCCTGCCTGCCTGCCTGCCTGCCTGCCTGCCTGCCTGCCTGCCTGCCTGCCTGCCTGCCTGCCTGCCTGCCTGCCTGCCTGCCTGCCTGCCTGCCTGCCTGCCTGCCTGCCTGCCTGCCTGCCTGCCTGCCTGCCTGCCTGCCTGCCTGCCTGCCTGCCTGCCTGCCTGCCTGCCTGCCTGCCTGCCTGCCTGCCTGCCTGCCTGCCTGCCTGCCTGCCTGCCTGCCTGCCTGCCTGCCTGCCTGCCTGCCTGCCTGCCTGCCTGCCTGCCTGCCTGCCTGCCTGCCTGCCTGCCTGCCTGCCTGCCTGCCTGCCTGCCTGCCTGCCTGCCTGCCTGTATGCCTGTCTGCCTGTCTGTCTGCCTATCTATCTATCTATCTATCTATCTATCTATCTATCTATCTATCTATCTATCTGATAGGAGATTCTTGACAGAATGATAGGCTTTTAATTATCTACCTAGACATGTTAAGAATTTCCTTGAATGAGGCAGAAAGTTGTTTAAAATAAGACACAATGTTGTCAAGTCAGGAAAAAAAAAATCTGCAGTTGCTTTGATCAGATTTGGAATTTAATTCTGAAAATGTGCATAGCAATCTGATGCTGATTTTCACAGAAAAATAGAGGGCTGGATTCAGAGAAACTAAAAACTCCAGTCCCTTTGTCGGGGTGGGGTGGGGGAAGTGGTTGGGGATTATCAAGTTGCCAAATTGTGGTCATTGGTAGAAGAAGCAAGGAATAGATGACATTCTTTCCTTATAGCCCCATACAAGTAATCCTTCAGCCATTCCTACCAACAACAGCAATCTGTCTTCTAAACCAGACTGCATTCTTTAATCTAAATCTGACATAACCTTTTTTATCAACCTGATGCTTTTTTCTTTACCATAGCTACTACTTGTTCAGAACATTTTTGTCATCTCACCAGAGTTTCCAGTAATCCTTAGGAAGTATAGTTTTACTGAGAACCAGCCTTGCTCTGTGTTTGCTCAATTGCCCAATCCCAAGGATAACCGATTTTAAGAAAGATGTATTTATCAAGGAATACTATGCTCATCTTTTACAAAAGGCTATTAATTTTTTGCTGCTTTTTGTCAAGTTTGCTAAGGGGATGACATATGCGGTATGATGGTAAAGCTTCATAAATGATTTTAAATAAGTGAGAAGGGAAATTAAAGACCCCAGTCTTACTTAGTGTGAGTTTAAAAACTATTTCAAGTTGTCTCATTTCACATAAGGTTAGGGATTCCCCCAGAACAGAGCACAGCCTAATAAAAAATATAATTATGGTGATTTTGATTCATTTTCTTTTTCTTCCAAAACCAGAAAAATCATGTTTATTTTTTGTCTGATTATCTTTAATGGGAAAAAAAATCATTATAAAAACTAGAAATGTTATAATTTGTAATATGTTTTATTAGGCATTTTAGGGAAAAATATAAACAGGGAAAGGGAAAGAACAAAAGAAAGGGATAAAAGAATAAAATGCAAATGAATAAATAATAAGAAATGAACAAATTGTAAACAATAAATGAATAAATAATAAGAAATGAATTAATAATAAACAAGGGATTTCAAAAGAAATTGGAATTTTCTAGTACATCATTAATTGATTATAAATAACTGAATATATTACAGTGGTACCTCGGGATACGAACGCCTCTACTAACGAACATTTCGGGTTACGACC